GTTGTCCCGCAATCGGCGTCTTGTTACTATGGCAAAAATGACCAGCGAGTTTAGTAGAACCGTCAGAAGCGCTGCCATTAAATCGATACTGGCTAGAGCAATCAGATGTTTGTATGTGTCCTCTCCTAAGTACTCCGTTCGCCAAACAGTTACGTAATTGCATATTTCTTTTTCTGAGCTAAAAGACCTGGAGAGATGAAGGTGTAAAATATCAGGCAAGGGACAGTGTTATGTCGGAAGCCCATGACCCGGCCCTGGGGGGACCCGGCGCAAGCAACTCCACAAATTCGTGTCGCGGTGCTACCTGGTGTCGGCGTCGAAGATAACTGTTCTTATTCCGTAAACCGCCGGTTATAAGACCCCCCTTCCCCTCCGCCTCACTTATAAGCCTTCCGGTTATAGGCCCATCTACCTATAAACAAAAAAATGCATCCGATATTTATAAGCCCCTCTCTGGCTTGTAATGAAATTGTAATTCGATTTATTATGACGTTTTGAAGCTTTATTGAAAACCAGTAAATGACAAACGTATTTTGATCCTCACTGCTATAGCTTGTTTCGAAGCGCTTTTTCTATTCCGATTGTAAACCCCTCCGTTCATAACCCTCCTAAAACCCCTCTGGAAGATTTATAAGCCCAGGCTTTTAAGGGGTAGTTTATGATAATTAGTTTTCTGTTGTTTCCCTGAACCAAAACATAAATAAAGTCAAACCAGGTCAAGCGTTCCCGTCGCTAACGAACTAATGAATTCATTAACGGAAAAATGATTTCGTTTGTTGATTCAATAATCCATTCATAAAATGAACAATTCAATATTCATATTTAGCCACGATTCCATAATCGAATGTTGATTCGATTACTGTTTTTTGAAAAACTACACTTTCCACAAGTGGACCTCGGAATTTTGTTTTTTCTTCTTTTTTTCTAAGAGTCGCGTTCGGGCGAGTTCTGAAATTCAAACCCAAACAAAATGTTACATGTACGCCATTTTGCTGCCAGCAATCAGTGCAACAGACCTGACCTCAA